TCATCGAGTCCTCGACCACCAGTACGTTATGACACGAATCGGGCGCTTCTTTAAATCGTTTGACGCACTCGTGATAGACCTGAGGGTCGGGTTTGCGGAGTACAGCACCCGTATTGTCGGCGGTTATGGCGTGACTGAAATAGTGGTCGTCGTTGAGGAATGGATCCAACTTTTGTCGCACTGCTGTTAAAAATCGGGTGCTGTTTGTGGTGGCGATCGCCATATGTATGCCGTGTCGGTGTAAGTGTTTCACCAACCGCTCCGCACCCGGTATCAGATCGTAACGTTTGGCTAACATTTGTTTTACCATGTCTTGCATGAGTTGTGGCCGATCAACTTGGACATCCACCAAGTTCAGTGAATCCATAAATTTGTTAAAACCCACTTGCATATTGTTGAAATTTGGTACCTCCACTAAAATTAGCATGGTATTAATTTTTAATTTTTATTTTCTATACTAAACTTTGATTTACTTGTGTATAAGGTTTTACATACTTTCAATCTCTTTGGATAGTATTTTTCCGTGACTTTTGGCATAATCTCTGAAGAGATTGATCACTAGTTCGGGTGTATTGATGAGAGTTCCGTCCAAATCAAACAATACGTGAGTTATTTTGCGTAACATTTAATTCACTATAACGGGTCACTTGTGTTAATTGTTTTAATTATGGTTAATACCTAATTTATAACTGACAAGTGAGTATATTTTTGTTTTAAGCAAATACACAAACAATTTATTTATGTTAAATTGATTATAAATTGCATACTGATAAAGTAATCACATAATGTACTCAATCGTCTATTTTTATTAAATGAAATTAGTGTATTTATTACAAAATAAATAAAATTACTTTTATAAATCATTTTATAATTTATTTTCTTGAAATCTTAACACTCAAAATTTAAAACCACGGTTTTTTCAAATTTTCGATGCCATATCACTGATGCCTCTCGTATCAATTTTATGCATTAAATATTTGAAATAATTTAAAGTAAATATAATATGAAAGTTTTTAAAAATTATTTGTATAAATTACATAAATTTACAATCAATTGACCCAGTTGTGTCATTTGGAAGTCTAGTCAGCTAACCAGTCTACCCATAGATTACGCGACTCCCAACTTTGCAAAACTTATCATTTTGGTACAGTATAAACAAATTGTCTACATTGGCGAAACACGGCAACTTACTTTAAGTACAGTATAAAGAGTTAAATTTTCATCATTAAAACAAATTTAACAAATTCCACTTATTTATATCACATTTTATACATACATTTAATTTGTTTTGAATGTTTTTCCATAACTTTCAGCTAATTCTAGCAAAATATTGATTAATATGTCAATTGTATTAATTAGAGTTCTGACTAAATCAAACAACATGTGTGTTATTTTGTCTCACATTATATTTAGTAAAACACTATGTATTTACAACTGATTGTGTAATAATGACTTTATTAATTTCAATATGCGTTATAAATTTAATTACACCTAAACCATATTATCTTAAATTAATACTGGTTAATTATAGTGCTTGTTATAATATCAATAATTTATAACTAACAAAATATCAGTTTAATTAAAACTAAATAATAATATTAATTACAATTACACATTTCTATTTATGTTATAACTTATAGTTAATTAGTAGCCTATAAGTAATAATAATAATTATTGAATACTGTATCTATTTATCATATGAAGGCAGACCTAATGACTCGGGTTTGAAATCGGCAAACGTATCGCAAATGACGGTAATCTTATCGGCGATCGTATCAAATGAGCACATCTTTCCGTCATTGATAAGCAGAGTCTTCATACCAGACGCGACGGCACCGGTAATACCGGTGAGCGAGTCCTCCACTATTAGTACGTTATCATAAGACTCGGGCGGCGTTTCAAAGCGTTTGGCGCACACGTAGTATACGTCGGGATTGGGTTTCTTGAGCTCCACTTCGGGGTCGTCCCAACCGCACACACTATGATTGAAATACACGCCATCGACTAGAAATTGGCCAAATTTGGGCACCATTTTAGACAAATGATCACTACTGTTGCCGGTGGCAATAGCTATGGG